CATTTCACTATCTGTAACGTAACAAAATCACACGTTACACACACAAACGTGTTTGTACAAACAGGCGATATACACGGGGCAAACACCACGCACATTCGCGTAGAACAATTATCATCAAGTACACGTGAATATTATAAATCCACCGCCTCTTGTGCCGCGTCTTAGTCCACGTGATATGTTGCGGCTGTAATATTGTTCCGTGCTATCTTAAAAGTGCTCAAAAACGCCAACGAGATAGAAACAAAATTGCGTCTCCAATCAGCACAAAAAAAATCAACGCATAATTTTAAAAAGTCGGGACGCGTGAATGTATTTAGGTGATACATGAAGCAACTTCCTATATTGTGATGTACAGGTCACACACACACACGAGTAAAGGATGCGATTTTCGAGTGAGATTAAACACCACACAAACTTGCAAGATGTTAATTGATCATCAAATAATATATGATACGTATATGATGCATCATCAATCCGCGGTAGCGTGTGGAACGCACGTGCATTGATTGCGTGCGGCGATTGTGTTTTTTGACATACAACTGTGACAAGTTTGGCAATGTTATATTACGTTATATCTATATTACAAACAAACGTGTAATTTTAATATTATACCATCAAAGAACATATCATTACAATTACATCACCACAAATAAGTTGACGGTTGAATTTAAATTAATTTCCATTTCGAGTGGGTGTCCGCAGAAGATTTAAAATTATTTGTAAAATAATCAAACGGGTTCAATCGAACGGACCTTACGTTTAAATACCCGCACATTACGTGAGACATCGTTCAATGTTACCTAGAATAGTATTTATATAGATAACGGTTGTTTGATAAGACGTACAATGCTAAGCGAATTCCACTAATTATCTCAAACAGCTTTCCGTTCGGCGTCCGCTTACCTCGGGAGATTCAAATGCCGCTGTAATGCCCATTTTTGTTGTTTTTATTGTTTAGCAGACAGCACCGTTCAACAACAATGAAATAAACAAATTTACAGTCAACGACAATTACCCGGACGCCTTAACCTACAAGTCTGCACTTGACGAACCATAGCATGCAACGCGTGGACACGTCGCACCAACGTTCAATCGTTGCAATGTATCACACACACACACATGCATGCTCGTATATAAACACAAACATAGAACATTAGCGAGCGACGAGTTCCAAAACGTGATTCACGATCGTCTCTACCAAGCAGCGAAACCATGTGTACAGACGGGGGGGGGGGGGGGCTCGCACGAGGTAGCAAGCCTTGGTCCAAGACGAGTCACGGACCACGTTCTACCTCGGTCATGCCGGTTGGAGTACCGACCCGGGCCGCTCCATCCTCGCGAGTCCGACGACTGCCGAGACGCCACCGCCACGCTGCCGTACCAGCGGCCGTGGGGGCCACGAGACGGTCGAGACGGCGGGATGCTGTGTGCCATCAACACTTGCTGTGGCCACGATCGCCGCAACTTACTACTCTATTAAGCTAAATGAAACGGCGGCAAGAGTGCGTGGCGAGAGGAGGCGATGGTAGGCGGTGGGGGGGGGGGGTTGGAAGGGGGTGGTGGTTGTTGCGTGTGTAAAGTATGCGTACAAGAGCTTTGTAGCCCATCGGCTTTCTCCGGTGTCAATAAATATTTTGGTTCTGTGTGTACATGATCAGAGGTACAACTGAAAGAGCTTTCCCCGTGGAAGATACGCAAAACGGGAAAGCGTGATGGGGATTAAGTATTGTGCCGTCACTCCTCGCCGAACAATCACCGAGACTTAAGTTACTCATTACACTAAAAATGAAACGGCCGAAAGGGCGAGGGGCGGGAGGGTTGAGATGGGTGCCATGTGTGTGTGCATGCTCACATATGTCATTGCCGAGATCTTGCTCGCGATGTAAGATGCGCGCGAAACGGGGACAACGAGAAGACCTCCCCATACTTTTCTTCTGCTCTCAGAGTCTCTACGGTTTGACGGAGTTCGTTTCCACGTCTTATTTCGCGATATCGCCGAGATAGCAGCGGTGGCGGTGACAATAACCACACGCAGCAGCAGCAGCCGCAGTGAGAGACTTTAAACAAAACAAGGGCGTAGGATGTTTCAATTGATGCATTCTTACACCCTGGAACGCCAGCAGAAGAAGAATGAATAGACCGTCCTTAACGGCGCTAATGACTCGAGTCGTAAGCAAAACAATAGCTTTGGGCTATAAGTTGTGGTTTCTGTGCCGAGTCGCCTTCAGAGGCCCTGACATACTCATAAGATAGACCCGTCCATTGTCCCGAAGAAGTTATAAACATTATATGTGCAAGTACCCATTCACGTATTTACACAAAATTGCCAGCCACTAGTCATTAACCGTTTCATTGTGGAAAAAAATAACTTACAGCTGACTTCTCACAGAATAAGACGCACACATAAGTTGAACGCATCATGCACTCAACACAATGCTGTTGTTGTCTCTCCAGAGCGAAAGCAAAGCATAATCATTATTAAAAAATATGAAATAATCTCCTTATCATATTGAGAAAAAACGCTGCCTAGAAAGTAATAATATTTACGGTTTTGTATGTGTACACACACAGGGATGACTTACTTCATCGAAACGGTGGCGGTAGTTGTGGCGTTAAAGCGACAGTGATAGTGGAGCAGAATCAACGGCGAAATATTTACAAAACTCGCAAAGTGTTTGGCCAGATTCAACGGCCGGCAGATCTCAGCAGGTCTTTGCCATCGTAATAACGCATTTATAAAGCGAAAGAGAGACATGTATGCGAAACGTTGGCATTCCACAGGTGTATTCTGGCAACGAATACGTCTTATTAAGTTGATCGGCCAAAGGGGAAGTTAACGCGCTCCGAAATGAACCTGTTGCAAAATGTTATTATAGGCGTGAGTCATAGGAACTGTGCTTTTATCCGGAGTCAGTTATTTGGTTAAGCGTCTAAAGAATGAGTCGACTAAATTAAACAATATAATTCTATCTACCTACGTGACTTTACCGAAAGACCCAAAGAATATGAATTACTGCAGCCACGAAAGCTTTTAGTCGAGATTTAAACAATAGAGTTACATCCGAGACGTAATGTAGGTGCGACGTGACAAATCCGCCATTCACTCCGAGCATCACTCCGAGCATCACTCCGAGCATCAAACCAACCTCACCCGGCGAACCCCCCCCCCCACTCCTCGAACCGCACAGGTAAGTTCGCACACGAATATACGCAGAGTTGCACAGGAGCGGCGTTAAACGAGGTACACGTGGTAAACACCATGCACGCGTTCACTGCTACGCGCCGAATTGTGAAGCTACTCTACTAAAGTGGCCGATGTGGATGGTGGCGATGTAGCACGAAGACAAACACAGTCGCACACATTCGCGACGAGGCTGCCAACATTTGGACGAAGTCGGCCCTGCTGTTTCTTCCTCGATCCACGCGCATTCACGGCCTCGCCACGCAAAACCAAACACGTCCGTTCACAGCTAAAAGCGTCGCAGTTTTCTAAATCTAACGATTCGTTTCGCGTCTTCGCTCGCATCATTTTGCGCGGCGATGTCATTCAAAGATCCGAGTCGTTTCGTTCGTTAAATTCTCAAAAACAACAAAAACCGTGACAACACCGCCACCACCAACCCAACAAATCCCTCCCGACATGCCGCCGCCTCCTCTCCATCTTTAATCCGTACAAGTTAGCGGCTGGGCTCTTTAAACAACACCAACAACAATGGGGAAACGAATCCTGCTTATTCCCACACATATTGTTGGTATCTTTAATAAGACTTTATTAACGCGAGGCCGGGCCCACGAGAACACGTGGAAACTCTTGCCCGTATACACGACGACAACAACAATCGGTGTGTGCCACGCTTCTCAAGCCCCGCACAGCTGGGAGAAGAAACAACAGCAAGGCGCAAACCATCGGCGTGGCTAAATGTGCGAGAACCCCCAAACAACGTGTACACAAAGTTAGGGCTTCCCCTCTCAAAGCAAGAGACAAGCCCGTCCCTCCTGCTAAGGATCCCGTGTGTCTGTCGGGCACGGACGTCGCGATTGTTTGCACTTCGCTAAAGTTTCCCCGTCGCTTCTCGAGGCTAATGTTTAACCCGAAGACTCAGCCACCCGGCGAGTGCCGCTTTTGCCTCTCATCGCCACGCCACATACAGTGCAGCAGCAGTCGCTGCTGCGAAGTACGACAGCACGAACACCATCATCATCATCATCACCACCACCACCATCGCGCTTCACGCGGCACGGCACACGGGACCCGCGCCGGGGATGATCGACCCCCGGGCGCCTGCCGCGGACTTCACGACGCCGGCTGCAGCCTCCGCCACTCGTGCCGCAACTTCTCTCCCCGCCCCCATCTCGACACCGCCGAGACGACGAGCATGGGAGAGAAGTTTGCCGAGTCCTGCTCGTCCGGTCGAGCGGCCCGGGGTGTCGCGGTGCCGGGCGAGCAGGAACTTTGTCTGCCTCGGCCGCTGTGCCCCCTTCGCGCCGGACAATGAGCGCAGAGACCGCACGCCGCAGCGAAAACAAATAACTTGTTTCACTCGCTCGCTCGCTCGCTCTCTGTCAGCCGCTCTAACACGCTCGCTCCTCGCTTACTCGGACACAAAAACACCCGCACAAGTCCGCGTTGCTCGTGCCCGCTGGGGCACCGGGCCGGGCCCCGAGTGCGCAGCTCGGCGAGCGACTTTTTAAATGGCCTCACGAGTTGCCGAATCTTTTTTTTGTGCGCCGGAGCCCCCCGAGTGTTTTCGTGACCTTGGTCTCTGTGCCGCGGCACTTCGGGGCAGGCAGCGCGCATTGCTCCGGGTACACATCGGAGAGAGAGAGGAGAAGGAGAAGAAGAGAGGAGAAGAAGAGAGGAGAAGAGACGACGAGAGCGAACGACCCCCGTCGCTTGCCCCAGAAAACAGCGACTTCTCCAGCCGGCACCCCGCGAGCCCACGAGCGCGCAGCGGCGCTCCCGTCGACAACAGAAGCGACCCCGATAGGGACAAACTCACCATTTTCCGAAAGTAGCGGCGGATCTTGGTCCGTCTTGAGCTGCTGCGGCTTAGCCTGCTTGCGGCGCGACATGGCAGATACATCAGCGGCGAATAAAAAAAATACAAATTCTCGAGTTGCAAAATTACGGAAATTAACGCGCGGCGCCACCGCGCATGCCCGGGCAATTATGATTATCAATAATGCATGGCGATTAATCATCCAAGGGCCGCGACGGCTGATTGGCTGCCTTCCAGGGACGCCGCCTGATTATTCAAAAGAGCGGCGCTTCGCGGTTCGCTGTCGCCGTGTGTGGCGGGGCAACCCCAGCGTGAGCGAGTGTGGACGCAATAACCGACACAGAGATAGGGGATGCAGAAGACGAGAGCAAGAGGAGGTGGTGGTGGGTGTGTGTGGGGGGGGAGAGAGAGACGAGAAAAGAGAGGGGGGAGCGAGCGAGCGAGAGGGAGTGGAGTGCGAAGGGGAGAGGAGAGAGAGATGGAACTGGCGGAGAAAAGGAACGCTTTGGAGGGAGTATGAGTGAGAGAGTATGAGCGAGTGACAGAGAGAGTCGGAGAGACGCAGAGTTAGATAGACGATAGATAAAGGAGGGAGAGGAGAGTTTTAAGGCAGAGCCCACAGAATCGCGGAAAGGGAAGTTGGGGAGCTTTTTTTGTGTGCTCGCTCGAGTCTCTGCCTCGCGTGGTCGCCGGCCTCGAATCGACACCGAGAGGAGCACGCGTCCAGCAACACGCGCTCGGCAGTAGAGCAGCAGCAGTAGCCACGGCTCTGTAGTCGTAGTCGTGGGCTGCAGTAGCCCACGACTCGGCAGTAGCCACGACTCGACAGTAGCAGCAGCAGTAGCCACCACTCGACAGTAGCCACGACTCGGTTGTCAGTCTCGAACGGGGCGTCGCGTATTCGATGGCCATCAGCCAGCACCGCGCACGGCAAGCGGAGGGTCCCACTCTTATCGGGCATCCCGGTATATGAGTACAGTCTACCTATATGTATACAAATACACGCTTAAGTATATACATGTGTATAAGTGTATATGTGTGTGCGGGCGACTATTTATAACGTAGATTCTCCAGTCGTGGGTGATGTGTCCGTTTTATGCGTTCGCGCGTATACGAGCTCCGATTGCTGTTCTTTACATCGCGTTGTTTAGCCTCTATCCCTTATACAATTGCGCGCGTGTGTATGCACGTAAGTGTATACGTGTGTGTGTATATTTGTGGGCGCTCCTGTGAATAGGTCGAGCACGGGGAGAAACAACGGTGTCGGTGCGATATAAGTCGGCAGGGTTTACCATACCCAACCCCCGCACCCCCTCCCATCACCACCATCCCCTCCAACCCCGCCACATCACAACGCTACCGCGTCCCACGATCGAGGTCCCAAGTCGGGTCCGTGCTGGGCGCGCCGCTAGGCAGCAGCAGCAGCAGCTACATCAGCTACGGCTGTAGCCTTTGGAGAGTGGCCTGGGGTGTCCCGTGCGTGGGATCACGCAGAGAGCGACAAAGTGCCGTTTTGTCGGGATTAAGCCGGGCCCCTTGTACCCAGCGTGACAATAATTAGTCCCAAACGCCGCGCGATACGCCGTGTTAAATAACGGGGGCAGAACAGAAAGGGAGGGAAAATAGACGGGGGGGGGGCAAGGCGGAAAGTTGCGTGCGACCGGGGGTAACGATTGTCTCCGAGTTGTCTTCTCGAGCTGTTGACTTGGGGAACTTTGCCGCGTGTAGGTGCGCAGCTAAAGGGACACTCGCCCCCTTACGCGCGCGGAGCCGTGCACGACAGGCAGACTTAGCAAGCAGCAGCGATGCTAAACTCGAGCGATTGACGAAGATTCCTTCAACGCAAGCTCGGTCCGAACTCGTTTTGTTTTTGTCATTGTGCGCGACCATCGGACCCTCTCCATACAGTTGGGGGTTGTTGGCCGTTCACGCACGGACCCACTGACGCGATGGAGAATTACTCGCCTCTGCAATTTAGGTCGGCGAAGTGCTACCAGATTCATGGAAACAAACACAGCTTAAGCGACATCGTAATACCCCCCCCCCCTTCTTTTTTCCGTTGAAAATTTAAATACTTTTGCAACGTGAAATGCGTCTTGATCAAAACTAATAAACACACGCGGACGCGCGCGCGCGCCCCGGCACCAATCCGTAATTGTGCGCACAAATACAGAACGGACAATAATTCGTAGCAAGCGCGTACGTATTATTTTGCAATGTCTCAACAACAACAACAACAAAACACGACATTACCACCGCTCATTCTTCCGATTTCCAGCTAAGCTCGGCGCGCTTAACTACAGGATTGGAACACACCATAAAAGTTGAGGTCTTTCAAGTGGGCGCCCATCTGTGCATATTCCGTTTACAAAGCGTGCGGGTATTTGTCACAGCACGGAATGTTGCAATTCTGACGTGAATTCAAACTCAGTGGCGTGGTCCTTTCGCCTGTACCGCCCATACACACAAACACAAGCACGCGCGCGCGCATAGACACAAAGACAAAGATCCCCCGTATGGCCTTAACGGACTGTTGGGGCAAGCGCTGTTAGCGAGCACCTATGAAGGTCCGTAACGGCACACGAAGGAGTGGGTGGCCAGCACCACGCCCGACCGCCTTTGACACCCCAGTGGCGATGTTTACACACCGCACCAGGTACTCATTTGAGGCTCAGTTGACCTAGGGGAGGCCCAGGACCGCATATACATACATCCATAGATGCACACGTGCACAGACACCCACAAAGACACAGGTACGAACACACACAGGTAAAGACACCAATACACATACGAACACACGTAGACATACCAACACATAGACGTACTAACATCCGTACGTATACGCAAACAAAAACAGACACGGACACACGGACAGACACATACACACAAACACACAGGCATATACACACACACACACGCCCTTGTGAGACACGTTCTTGGACAGTCGTGATATTCACTGCAATTACTCTTTGCCACGATACCGTTGGCGACTTTTCTGTGGATTTTTGGCAAATCTTTTGTTTGGAATTGCGAGGCAGTCAAATTCGGACGAAGCCACTTATATCAACTCGTATGGAGGAGAAACAAATATCATAGCGTGCATATCAGACATTTAAATGCTGTATAATTATTGTTAATTACAGTCCAATATGGATAACTTTAAAAGTATGTTTGTGGAATTCACGCCATTGCTTGGTTTGCTAGATGTGTATCTATTCTATACCCCGCGGGTTCAAGTGGACTCGATAACGGAAGGAACATGCTGATACATGAACATGTTTTTGCATCATACAAAATGTTTGCATAATAGGATCGAAAATTAAATTTTTTGTTGCAATATTTTTTCCCTATAAAAAATCAACAACACTGTCGCTGCTGGGGGATATTGTTTCCCGACGTATCAAGTGCACCAAGCAGTGTGTTATTATTACACTATATATATCTTGCTTTTGTAAGTATATCAATCCCATATTACGAATTACGTTGTCGCCAATGAACACCCTTTCATTCATTAAGCCGACAGTTCATCGCACACGTGAATGTCGTCGTGGATTAAGCGTTTCCCACAATTCGAAGTTTCTTCTTACGAATATTATTCCTTTCTTACAAAAACGTTCGCCATTCGTGTCTTCTTTTGAAAGCAACAACTTAAAAACTACAAAAAAAATCACGCTTTCCGGGCTAAAACATAATGCCATGCTCCATGTGCGTTTTGTCTTCTCGCGAGCTGGGGGCAATGAATAGCGCTTCGTCAATTATAACTCGGACAGCCAATTAAGAACTCCACTGATTTATGCAGTAACAATCAATGTAAGGTGAAAGACAGTACCACCGATTCATCCTTCTGCTTATAGCCAATGCTGCAATACTTGTGCCTTCAGACTCGCGAATGAATCGCGTTTGTGTTCGCTTCTCTTCATCAACAGTCGCGAGCTTCTCAACTTTGTTGTTGTTGTTGGCGCAACTTATCAAGATGCGCATTCGGTATCATTATCATCATCATTGGCAGCAACTGAGCTCCACAAGTCCCATGGCTATCCCTTCGACTGAGACGGAGGTTGACGCTTTATTGTTTTTTGTGTTTCCGAATGTAACTGTCATCAGATGTTAACAGAGGGGTGAATTCATTTCAGACATCGCGTTAGTCAACAGCACACTGAACACGGTAAGCGTCACTTAATGTTGCCGAAAACGAAACGTATGCAGTAGACTGACTTGTAGCCCTCACTCAGATCAATGCCTGGTATTCAGAGCCGAAAGATAAGGGTCATATCCCGAAACGTTATATACTTTTAAGTTATAAGGTTGTGTTAATGTTCTGAGTACTGTATTGTTTCTCTAGTGGTGATTGTGTATTCGAATCACTGTTAACAGGAGTCCTTTCTTTGTTGTTGTTGTGTGATGTTGTTTTTGTTGTGTGATGTTGTTGTTTGATGTTGTTGTTTGATGTTGTTATCCACTCAGCCACTGGAATATCACGAAACTCCGAATGGAAGGGCGCAAAATGACCACCACCAGGACTACCACCACCACCACCACCAACCACCACACGTCATGAGTTGTGAGCACAACCATCGAGCTTATCAATGCAACACCACCAACACAACCAACACCACCACCAACACCACCAACACAACCACCAACACGAACATCACCACCAACAGCACCACCAACACCACGAACACCACCAACAACACCACCAACACCACGAACACCACCAACAACACCACCAACACCACGAACACCACCAACAACACCACCAACACCACCAACACCACCACTACCACCACCACCAAAAACAACACCACAACCATCACCAGAATGACCACCACCACTACCACCACGAACAACAAACACGTCAAATGTCCACTCAATTTGCATGACAATTGGATCGGCGCGAGTCTTTGCGCATGGCGAGGACTCAGCGGGATGATCAATCGGTGGCGCATGGAGGGCGCAAGCAGCAGGGGAGGTGTTGGAGGGTGGGGGGGGAGGGGTGTGTACGGGGGAGGGGGGTGCGAGGGGGTGCGACGGGGGTGGTTGCGGGGGTCGTGCCCGACTCGGCGGGGGTCCGCAGTTCCGTGACCGCCAGCCCCTTCTGCGGCCGGGAAGGGGCTGACAGATGGCCGCTCGGTTCGGCTCCGCGTGCTCATGAAAAACAAGTAATCATCATCATCATCATACGCCATAATCAATCCACTGCTGGATGGAGATATCCCAAAGTCCCCTTCTTCTAGAATACACCTTCGTTGAAATAGTTCCAACTAGCACCTGCACGCGAATCTCATCGCTCCATCTCTTTGCTGGAGGTCCTCTCGGACGCTTTCCATTGCTTGGCCGCTACTTCGTTCACGATTCGTGACCACTGCATGCCACCGTCCCTTTCGCGTCGCGTCGTGTCCATTGTCCTCCTTGCTCTACCCAATAGTTTCAGGTATAAATTATGACCCGGGTACGTTCTCGCTATGCAAATACACACACACGGGCGGCTTAATTGCAGTTTGGGTCTGTCCGGGTGGGCTCCTCGGTAATTATTTCGGCATCCGACGCACCCCGTCCAGTGAACCTCTCGCTCGGGCTGCGACAACGTCACGAAGTCGCCTGCCACCGGCTCTCGTCGACCGGCGATTCGGAAAGAAAAATCAGTGACAAATTAACCCCTTCACACGATGTATGCACGTGTTGCATACATGTGTACATACATGTGTACATACATGTGTACATACATGTGTACATACATACACGGCCCTCGCTGGCAGGCTCTGCCCTAAGACCCCGGCATATGACCGTCGTTACATATCTCTGCACGTGGCCACCACATCCAGTATACATACTTCTTGCAATGCGCACGGAGTTCCCATGTCCGCGTGCCCGTTTACGTGTGTGTGTGTGTGTGTTTTATGTCGCGTGTTGTAACGCACATGGATTTATTTTAAATATCTACTAAGCGGCGGTGACATCACTACGACTCTTGTGCCATGCTAGGTGCACCTTGAGTCTATCATGTGAAGTGTCGAAGGCTCGCTGCTGCTGACAGGAGGTCACGGGATAGACCCAGGTGTTATGGGGTTGACTCAATGAGATGACTACTGGCATATGCACCACCACTTGTGCCCCCCTCCCCACCTCCGCTGTTACTTTGGGGGCGACCGCCTTCCTCAACTCTGCCCAGTAGCCTCCTGCGCGAACCTCCTGCACGAACCTCCTGCACGTACGTACAACATACAAACGCCATGCGTAAAACATGCAAACGCCATGCGTACAACATGCAAACGCACGCGTGTAGCGCACACGGCCTCGACCCCCGTCAACACGGCGCGCTGCCCCGCAGGACGAGAATGCTGCAGCGAAACGCAGCGGCGGCTCGATTGGGGAGGCTGGCGAAGCGCTCAACGTGGCCGAGGTTTATTGACCACCGGGACGAGTTGTACAGTGCCAGTCCTTTAAGGCGTGTTCAGTGCCCGTGGAGGCAGTGGAGAGAGAGAGAAGGGCTCGCTCCAGCGTGAAGAGAGCGCTCCTTAAGAAAGGGAACCCCGTGGAAGAATGGCTGACCACTCGCCCCCCCCCCCCCATTAATGGAACGAGTCTCGTTAATTCGCCAGAGTTTTGTGCGAAGATTTGCCCCCGTCCCTCTCTCTCCGATTATTTTTATTCCCCCCCCCCCCCGCGTGCTGCGAATGCGCTTCATGAGGGCCATGCCTCTCTCTCGCTCAGCGTGTTGTTGTGTGCGCGCGTGTATTGTGATTCGTGCAATCAGGCGCTTAAAAAAAAACTCACTTGAACCCATCACCTGTGTCACGTAGGTATTGTTCCAAAAATGACAAAGAAACAAATGTAGCTGTGTTTGCACAGTATCAAAGTAATTGGTAATAAGGATGCACCTTATGTCCGTACAATTAGTGGTGTGTGTGTGTTTTGCGTGCCCTGGTGTGCTGTTACATTTTAGAAGCCTCTGTTTTTTGTTGTTGTTTAAATATTAGAGTTTCATCTTCGGCGTACGCAGGCTCCTATCGGTCTTCTCTGTGTAACTACGTTCATTTGGCTCATCTTGCAATCTGTTGTCTTCCTCTCACTCTTCATTTACACGTCCACACAACAGCGGATCAGCATAAAGATGAGTGGGGATGGCACTGGAAATAAACCAAACAAACAAAAGACATATATATAAAAACAACCACACACAACAGGCCATTTGTTCTTCCAGCGATTAATGTAAATAGGTTTGAGGCAGGTCTTACGTTTGAACTGGGTTATAAAGCAAGCAATGGTAAATACAAAATGACTCCTTTGCACAATTTAAATAATGGTATTTTTAAAACCCACGAAAACAACATGGGGTCTCAGACAAACATCCAACCTCTACATAAAACACATGAATACACTCATAGTCATAAAAATAAAGCACTTTTGTTTCTACTGCTTGCCTCCCAGCAGGGCAGGGCAATGTTGCTGCAGCAAGATACCATTATATTCATTGGAGCAAATCAAAGTTTTAATTCTCAAACAACAGGAAGCTTTTATTACACGTTTCCAATGGCGTTAAACTCACATCTGGGAACAAACTGCTGATCACCCCAAAATAAAGTTCATTTGCGAATTTATTTTTTTAAACTCAAATTAAGCGCTTTGTGCGCACCAATTATACACGTTTACTCTTCCGACGACTTCACGTGGATTTTTGTTTTGTTCGCGCGTGAGATGTTTGGGAACAATCTAGCCGCAATTGTGCTCGTCATTTATTTTATTTTATACCTACGTGACTTTACCGAAAGAACCAAAGAATATTTTAAAAGGAGTTAACGTGCTCTCTGATTACAAATGCGTGGTACACGTCACGTCTGTCGGACAAAAACGTCGGTATCTCATTCTCATAACCTGGGGTGGTGGGGGTGGTGGGGGTGGTGGGGGTGGGGGTGGTGGGGGTGGTGGGGGTATTGATTTTCAAAAGAAAACGCAAGAGCCGCATTAATTGTTCATATGAAGCCAGTTGCGAGATGACTCATTCCGCACCGGTTCATGGCACATGCTACGAAAGAAAGTTGACACAAACCTCAGCGACATCATTATGTGGACTTCTCGGTTTTCACTCTTTAAGGTGACGTGTAGCAGTTGCCAAAGGATAAAATGTAAAAAGAAAACGTGTATTAACATATCTGTGTCTATTCTCTGACAGTGCCAACACTGCATGAAAGAGTGATTATTTGGCCAAATCTTGCCCTGGGCTTATTGGACCTTCCCTGGTTTAGCCACGGAGGGGAGTCATGGTGTAATGGAGTGCACACAGCAATTATGAGAACATCAGGGTGGTTACATATGACCACCAACATCATCAGCTATTGTCAATTCACTGCTGGATGAAGGCCTCCCCAAGCTTTTATCATCTCTCTTCACTGCACGATGCAGCAATCCACCCAGCACCTGCACACGAACTGATGTCACTGCTCATTCTCCCCAGATGCGTTCTCTTCCTTGAACTGCCATTCTACCAGCACGTCTTACTATCGGCCAGCGTCGCTTGTATGTATGTATGTTGAACTGTACGTGTTTACGTTGAACTTCTTTCGCACCATACGCAACCGATCGTGCTAATCGGATGTCTGGGGGATGGATAACAAAACTTAACGCGAATAAATTAGTTTTCAATCTAGATTTAGAAGTGCAGAGCTCCAGTGGCTTCCTAATGCCGGAAGGAAGAGCGTTCCAGACGGCCGCAGAAGTTTATCTGAAAGCGCAGCGCGATGCAGTGACCGTCTTTGTTGGATGTGCTGGTCGATCCCACTTAAATGTATGAACAATGCGAATGATGTCATGAACTCTGCGTGTGCTCTCGAATCCACGTGTTCCTCTTTATGTCTTTCACTGTCATTCAAGCACGCGTCTCTTCATACTTTGTTGCCCACATTTCAGTTTTTGTTCCTTTATTTTTGTTAATATTCGTGCTTTTGAACCATGTGTCATAGCAGGTGGGAGTACACACACATTGAATATTCCGTTTTGTTAGGCACGTCGGTATGTGACGTTTCACAATCGAGTTCAGAATTCTAAAGGCAGTCCAACCAAAAATATGAATCGTTCAACATTCTTACTCGGTGATGTATTAAACTAAAAACAGTCCCCATGTTCACCAGTGGGTCAGCTTGCATTTATAATTCGACAAATATTGTTTGTTGTTGTAAGATTTGCCATGTGGTAGAGTAAGGGCGTATTAATAATAATGAATTCAAACAGTGAACTTCTTGAAGAGTGATTTGAGCATAAATCCAGGGTTGGGTAAGGGCTTTAGATGCATAATCCATATTTCATATCCAACAACAAACAGTGAACATATGACAATGAAACAGAGGTGTGCATGTGTGTGATATGTCTGTGTACATGTGTGGATTTTGATCATTTGTACATATTATTTTACGAAGGTCAGGGTTTGTGATCAACCGGATTGCATTCAAATAAATCAAATATATTGTTCTAAGTCTACAAAAGCTAGGTACTGTATAATGGAATTTGAGATTCACTTGTTCTGATGGATAGTATGTAAGTGGTCAACGGTTAAAACCCTTCTTT